AAATGTTACACTATTTGCAACTTTATCGTGTTATATATATACAACATACCTATATAGTAGCTGATCTAGAAAATAGTTTTACCGGATCGGACCGACCACGGTCTGACCGCAGCTCACTGAAAAAGCCAAATCCGGTTCAATTTACAACACGGATTTGAGAAAAGATGATAACATCGACAAAAATCAATAAAACCCAGGTCAATTTGAAAAACCCAGTTCAAAAAATTAACATATAATTAATATGTTTTCAATTGTTATTAAAATTTAATCTTTCATAACAATATTTGACTATTACTATTTAATTGATTTTCTATTTAATTCTATTTCTTAAGAAAAATATAAAGAAATATACTTTTGCTTTCGTATATTATTTTTATTTTGACATATTAATAAAATCCGAGACTTTAGATGTAAAAATGAATAGATATGGTAATTTGAACAATCAATAGTTTAGTTTTAATCAATTTAAGTTTTACATAGTATTCATTTATTTACAGCATAAATAATTAGATTTATACATATTGTTTCTTTTTCTAGTTGATAAAGCGAAAAAAGAATATATTATACACATAATTATTAAGTCTATATAATGTAAATATATGCTTATATATATTTTTATTTTAAATAAATAGAAATCCGGTTCAATTAGTCCAACCAGCATACCAAGTTAGTATTTGGTCTGATTTTCAAAACATTGGGAAAAACTATTATCGTAATAAAATACTATGTAACTAGAAACATCATTATAATTTGGACAGTTCTCTCAAATAGATCATTTTAATTTTTCTTCACAAAAATAGACTTTAAAAATTAAAATGATCAAAATCTAATTTTTATTTTTAAAAATTTTATTTTTATTTTATTTTTTTAAATTTGAAATTATATCCCCGAAATCTCATTTCTCAACTTTAAACAAAAAATAGTATTATTTAAACCAAAAGATATAATTATATATTTACTTATTTTTGATAAAGTATTTAAATCTATTTTGGTCATTTTTATTTTTAACATCTATATTTCTGACAAAACAAATTTAGATCTATTTTAGAAAATTTCTCTTAGAATTTTACAAGAATTACACTAAATTAAAAACAAAAAAATGACATAAGGCAACCACCCCTCCCCTATTACGTGTAGCTTTGCCTACATACACGTAAATTAAGATATTATAGTGCGCCTAAAAATGATTCAGTATGTACCATATTATTAATAATATGTTGAATGCCCTTTTATGTTTTTTTTTTCTATTGAAATTTGTTTTATCTACGAGATTTCACATTTTTCTACAAACATATTGAAAGTTGAGATTATTTGTTCCCACACCTAAATGACCCTCCTAAGTAGCTAATTACCCATGATTTGACATTAATAAAATAATGACTATTTTGACCTTTTTTTATATGCAAGTGACACTCTCTCTCTACTGACACACTCTCTCTCCCGACACTCTCTTTCCCCATAGAATTGGTAACCTCTCCTTCTCTTTCCTTCCATTCATCTTCTTTCTTACTCTCAAATTCTCTTATCATGCTAATGCATTTTATTTTTTGTGTAAAAAACTATTGTTGCGAAAAAAGCTTTTTACTTTTTAACTACTATTCTTATGAATCTAAATTATTTTAGTTACACCACATTCTGAAAAAAATCAGCATTGTTGTTTTTTAAAAATAGCCAAAGATGTTAACACTGATGTTAGCTGTTAACAAATAATGTAGATGTCAACAAATTTTGACAAATTTTGTATTAACAGAGGCAGTAACTGTTGACAAATTTTGTAAATGTTAACAGATGTGTTAGTTGTTAACAAGACATGTATTATAAGTGTTAAGAGAGATGTTAGTTGTTAATAAATTTTGTAGATGTCAATACATGCGTTAGATATTATATGTTAACAAATAAATATTGTTGAAGTTTAATTTCTCTATCAAAATGAGTAAACTAAAAAATCATTTACATATAAAATTGTAAATGATAAAAAATCAAGAAAAATAGTGTAAAAAGAAAGAAATGAATGTGAAAAAGAAATGTACGAAAAATATGTGTGGTTTAAAGAAATAGATTATTTGCTGGTGTATCCTAAATGGACTTCTAATTAGCACATTACCATGATGTGACCATTACAAAATAATGACTAGAATGCCCTTTGTTTCTCTCTCCGCTTATATTTGTAGGTGTGTCAGTTTCTTTGTGTAACTCAGCTACGCTATAGTCACTCATACCTGTATCAACCACTCTACACCCATTTATATCAACTGCTACATTTTCTTCTCTTTTATTATATTTTTGTTTCTAATTTTATGAAGAGGTCATATTAATGCATTCTAATTTCTGTGTAAGAAAATTATTGTTGCAAAGAAAACCTATTACTATTTTACTACTATTCCTTTGAATCAAAATTATTTTAATTACACCACATGCTGAGAAATTCAGCATTAAGATATTTTAAAAATCGCCAAAGATGTTAACAGTGGTGTTAGTTGTTAACTAATAATGTAAATGTTAACATATGTGTTAACTGTTAAAAAATATGTGTACTAGATGTATTAACAATGGCAGTAACTGTTAACAAAATTTGTAGATGTTAACAGATGTGTTAGCTGGTAACAAATACATGTACTATAAGTGTTAACAACAGATGTGCTAGTTGTTATCAAATTTGTAGATGTCAATACATGCGTTAGGTATTATATGTTAACAAATAAATATTGTTGAAGTTTTAATTTTTCTATCGAACTGAGTGAATTTAAAAAGAAGAGAGAATGAAATGTTTTTTTCATATAAAAATTGCAGAATGAAAAACATGTAGAAAAAAAGAAATGAAAAAGTAAAAAAAAAAAGGGAATAAAAGATAGTGTGTTATCGTTTGAAGAAAAATAGAGAAAAAAAGAAAAAACATGTAAGAGAAGAGAGAAAGTGTTAAGGAATGAAAGAAAATAAGTGAGAGAGAGTGTCGAAAAAAGAATTGTATTGTTTGGAGTTATAATGTCAATCAATGGGTAAAACTCTAATTTAGACTCCAAATATGGGTATTACACTAAATCATTCTTAAAAAAAATGAATGTAGGGAAGAGAGGAAGAATCGTTGGAGAGAGAGAGTGTCAGATATAGGCAATAGGATTCAGAAGACCATTTTCGTCAAATACCAAACAAATTGTAAAAAAAATTGTTTTAATGTCAACTCATAGGTAAGTCACTAATTTTGACTCCCTTTTATGGGTATTTGGTTAATTCTCTCTTGAAAGTTGACCAATTACTATAATATCTATATAGTATTTGCATGGCATATATTTACATAAGTAAAAGCGCAGTGAGTGTGACTTGAGCACGCGAGGAAACACTACTCGGAATCATATCTGCATCTCTCTCTATAGTTAAACTAGAGGCATAGCCCCCCGCACAAGCGCGAAACCGGGTACATTTTTATTGTGAGTGCGTTGTATAATTGTGTGCAAAGCATTTTATCATTTGTTTTTTCTTTTTACATTTTAACTTTTTTATGTTATTTATAACGGTGATGAATGGAACATTATAAATCATACAACTTGATTAGGTTGATATAATAAAAGCTAGTGAATTTACATATATTGATATTTTCATATTTTGTTTTTGCAATGATTTGGTTTTTCAAAAAGTGAAGTTTATGGGGTTTATTAGTGTTTATTTAGGCACAATAGAAGTTCTATAAATTAATAATGTTGGGATTTTGAAATTTAATTAATTTATAAAGACATTAATTTATAAAAAAAATTCTTATTTTAAGATATAATTATTCTTAGATAAGAAAATTATTTGATTTTATTCTACCAACATTAATTATTCTATTTTCAAATTTTATATTTATATGAATTTTACTATATTATTTGATGTATATGATATTACATAAAATTTAAATTTGGTTTTAGGTATAATATTACTAAATCTCATAAAAAATATATTAAATGTTCAAATATAAATATAATTCTACTCTGAATATAAAAATAATATAATGCTAGATGCTTACTTATATAAAACATGTATACATGCATGTATAAGTCTTAACAGCCCTGCCTATTATAGATTTGATGAAGCTTATTGTATATTTTTATTAAAAATATATATTTTATTATTTATTAGTTTTATTTTATTTAAAATAAATGACTGTACATATATAACATGTTAAAACAAATTTTTATTATAACTTTAGATTAATAATATTTATTCACCAAAATTATTTATCATACATCAAAACAAACTTTGAAGATATGAAAATCAAATATGCATCTACAATTAATTTGTTTATAATATAAAATAATAAATAATATTTATATTTCTTCTTAAATTAACTTTGTGTAAACTTAAATGATTAAAAGTTAAAATCTATATATATATGAGTTGAATGAGAGCCAACACTAGCATTTGCAGACTTATTCATCTATGTTGGTTACAATGTTCCTCTTTTTCTTCATCTATAACAACTAACGACTTTGAATGTCAAAGCTACTGAGACCATTGTACTTTTGGTAATTACATAATTTTGGAAAAGGTTAGAGCATCTGCATCGCACATATCCAAGGTGGGGTTTTGAGGGAAACGGGGGGTGTGGGGACCACCAAAATAAGATAGATGTCTACAAATGTTGTGAAACAAGCGACTTCTTTTGTTGGTTTTCATCACTATTCGCGGGCCCCACTGACATGTGACGGCCCATGATTGGTTTATGTTTTTTTTTTAATAATACAAAAACGAAAAAAAAAGTAAAAAAGAAACCCATTATGGGATTCTATGTTAAAGGTGCTCTTATAAATTAATGGTTTGAAAATGTAGGGATATGTTTGCTGAAGTTGATCGATGGCATCCAGTAGTTAAGTACTTACACAACACCAATTATCTGGCTTCCAATATTATTCTACAAATTTTGAACCCACTCTAAAAGAAATAAACAATATCCATCTCTCACATACCAATTTTCAAGCATAACGAAAGATGGAGCATGAGAGATCACTGTGTTTATCCAACATAGACTAAATCTTTACCACATTACTATCTCATAAAAAAAAAGAAGAAAAAAATAATATGATTTACGTCAATGTCAAGCTTCCAAGACTACTCTACAACTAATCCTATCCCAAAGGAGTAATAATCTTTGTCTATCATTCACTACATAATATCAAAAAAAACATTGAAAGATTTTAAAGACTTAAGTTCCGGCCATAACTCATACATGATATCAAAATCAAGCAGCAGCATAAAAAATATCTTAGTTTTCCTAGCATAAGAAAAATTCCCACGCATCAAGAACATGCCAAACATCACCAGTAGTCTTAAGCTTATACTCTTTCTCTGTCATATGATTAACCAAAACACGATCTCTTTCCCTCACTCCATTGTCTCGACATCTCCATCCTAGACTCATCACAAACCCTAACCTATGAATCCAGCAGATAAATCTCCCCAGTCACCACCAAGTTAATAAAAAAGATCCTCGCCTCACTTTGCGCCACCACCGCCTTCACCCCTACCGCTCCCAAACACATCGGCGCGATCCTTGACGCTATGCAAGCTATCATTCAACTTGTTTTCAAGCAAAATAAGATCCAAAAAACTCATAAGGTCAAGCTCCGTACCCTTGAGTCTCCTAAAAACAATAAAGCAAAAAATGAAAGAGAGGATAAGACGGAAGTCCTTAGTTAGTGATAATTAAACGCAGAGTGGCCCACGGTCTTTATAAAATATATGTGGATATTGTGAAGTCCATTAAAAATATAACATAAATCAAATAGAAACTCACTTGAGATTGAAAAAAAATTAAAAAAATAGGTGAAACTCATATATCTGCTGACGTGGACCCCCTGAAGACTGATTTCAAGAAAGAAATAAAGACTTGTCTTATAAAGATAAAACATGTAAGCTGTCGAATTCAAACCCACGCCCTTGCAGACTAGCCACTACACCTTAGACCACTCGACCAAACTGCAATTCGTTGTTCGTAGACATTTTAGCAAGACTATGACTTTTAAAATAAACACAGGACCCACAAAATTACTAACGTGTCGCACTAAGGAGCCTAAAAACTGTACTATTATATATAAGATTATAAATGTAGTATTCCTTTTTGTCCAGAGATTGCCGTTTGGATTTCACACTAAACATTATGAAGAGAGACCTCGATAACTTATTATATAACGAGTTATTATATAACAATATGATAGTGTTATTTCATATATGATATCTTTTTGAAAAGGAACTAAAATCTTGTTAAGATTTATTATGTTTATAAAATAAAAATACAATAAATAAATAAAAAATAATAATATTCACAAAAAATGAATTTAAAAATAAAAATATTTTAACACTAAAACACTTAACCCTAAACCCTAATCCTAAACCCTAAACCCTTGGGAAATCATAAACCCTTTAGATAGTAATTTACCCAAGAGTTTATGGTTTAGGATTAGGGTCTAGTGTTTTAGTGTTAAAATATTTTTTTTGATAAAATTCGTTTTTGTAAATATTATTATTTTTATTTATTTCTTGTATTTTATTTTTAAAAATAATAAAAATTAACAAGATTTTATTTCCTTTTTAAAAAGATATTAAATATGAAATAATACCATCCTATTGTTATAAGAGGTATTCTTGGGTTCACCAATCAATATGATGATGTTATTTCATATTTGATATCTTTTTAAAATGGAAATAAAATCTTGTTAAATTATATTATGTTTTTAAAATAAAAATACAAAAAAAAAATAAATAAATAATATTTACAAAAAAAGAAAAAAAAGTCTTAAAAAATTATTTTAAAACTAAAACACTAAATCCTAAAATATTCTTAATTATGCATGTTATATAAGACTTATTCTTGGAGGTGAACCCAAGAATAACTCCATAATTAACCAGCTAAATATTGAAGATTCAGACATATAACGGGACCAACCTTCTTCTAAAACATATTAGTAATGTGATAAGAAAAAAAGAATTTAATATAAGATTAGAACATTGAATTAGTAGACATCATATATCTTTAAAACCGTTGAATTAAATTAATCACAAACGAACAAAGTAAGTAATTCTACAAATCTGTTATATATACCCAAGTATCAGTCAATTTTTGTCGACCAAATCAAATCACAAAAAAATCGAATATATCATTGTCTCGATATAAAAGATATATATATACGACATGCATATATATTGACGACCTTAAGAGACAAAACCTTGGCAGAATCGAATCCGTCCAGCGGAAACTATGATGAAGATTCATCCCAACCGTACAGCCTCCGGCGCAAGAGAAGTAACAATTTCGTCGCGGCACGTGACGACGGAGAAAGAGAGTTTCACGATTTGGATGAAGTCGTTGGTGTTCCATACAAATGGCTGCACCGTCTTCGATTCTAAAGGGAATATAATTTATCGTGTCGATAATTATAACTCTAAGAGCGCTCGTGAAGTTTACCTCATGGATTTACATGGTCATGTCTTGTTTACCTTACGTAGACGTCAGGTACACATACGTCCCAGTTTAATTTATTTTCTTTTGTTTTTTTTTTTTTTTGCTAACAGGTTTATTCACATTGAAACTTTTTTTTTGTGTATTTGTAGAAATTTGGATTATTCCATACTTGGGAAGGATATAGATCACATGAAACTGGGACAGCTGAATCGACACCAAACTTAGAATATTTTCGAGTGAAAAGTAATATTTTTCAGGTTCTTAGAAAAGGTTCATCTTATTCGTATAGAGTCATAACGGGATCGAGTAGTAACGATGAAGAATATCGTTATAAGATGGTAACTAAGGGATCGAGTTTAAGAATCGAGGATATTTGTGGAAGAGTTGTGGCAGAAGTAAAGAGAAAACAATCTAGGGAAGGTTTGGAGTTAGGAGATGATGTTTTGACGATGATGGTGGAATCACAAGTTGATCACTCTTTCATCATTGGACTTGTTTTAACTCATAGACTTATCAACTGTGAACTGTAGGAAAATATTAAAGAACATTTTATTAAATAGGTAATTATGATGAAATTTTTGTTTGAAGTATTAGTTTTTTTTTTCATTTTTAACTTCCTTTGTACGTTGTTGCTAACGAAAGTACAACTGATGTATGTTAAGATTAAAGTTACAGTAAAGTGAGTGTTGTTTTTTTTGTTTGTCAAAATGTGGATTCATTTCATAGAAATGGCATTGACAAAGTGAGTGTTAAGCGATCTCTTTTCTTCATTGACATGTTCAAGAGTTGAAAGATGGAGCCAATTATGATAATTTGAGATTGATGAATTTCAGAGAATATAGTAATGTTAAGGTAATAGCCTAAATTCCATAAATTTGTATATAAAGCACAATAATGTATGATTAGCTAAGTACAAAAATAATCCCAATATTTGTTAAACACTAAACGACGAAGCACCATACCAAAACAAATTTCTTGCAGCTTCTGCAATTTCTATGTTGATTTGGGTATTCCCATTGGGGCGAAAGTTGATGAGTGTAGGAGACATCGAAGAAGAAATCACCGGGTTGTCTTGTTAAATAAGATTGAAGATGAGATTGAGAAGTATAAAGGTAACTGGATTCCAGCGAAGGATGTTTCTTTATGGCAGGATGGGAATGTAAAATTTAAAAGAACTTTCTCATCAAAAGAGACATGGCAGATTATTAGGGAGAAGCATGTTCCTTGTAGTTGGTATAATGTGGTGTGGTTCAAGCCCGTGAAGATGTTGGAACGATAATGTGGATACCTCTTGTGTTTTGTGTCAGATTCCGATAGAAACAAAGGAGCATTTGTTCTTTGAATGTCCTTTCTTTACTCTAGTTTGGAAGAAGCTGATAGAAGGAGTCTTGGGTAATGAGTTTACAGTAAAATGGGAAGAGTTGACAAGGATATGTGCTAGTGCAGGAAGGCAGAAAATACAGAGCTTTATAGTCAGATATGCTTTGCAATTAACGGTATATAGCATATGGAGGGAAAGAAACAGAAGGAGACATGGAGAAACTGCTCTTCCTCATGATAGAGAAGAATATGAGGAACAGGCTGGCAACAATACAACAGAAAGGGCTGAGGTATTGGTTCAACACAAGATAGAAGTTCTTAGAAGAAATGGAGGGTTTTTTTTTAATTAAAATCGAGTTATTTCTTTAGCAATTTAGCAAAAGTCTTTACATAAAAAGTCTAAAAAACACTTTGTAAAGGTTTTAAAAAAAAAATTAAATTTAACATTTTAATTCAAAAGAAAACCATAGATAAAAGCCATCGTTTTTTGAAATGTTTAAAGATATTATCTAGATTATGATTTGTAAAATTAACATATTTTATTTTCTCATAGTCAATAAAAGATAAAAAAAAGTATTTAAAATTTTTTTTTGTCAGCCGCCCTAAATCAAACAATTATAAATATGTAATGCTAACATATTCAATTATATGTAATAATGTCAATATGTGTTCTATTTGTTCGTCATTAAGAAGTAAATTTTCTAATAAAAAGGAGGAAATTTTTCATTCATCTAGATCCAATGCAACTACGTTCGAACAAATGCCATAACTTAACGTGAATGCACACCTAAATCAAACTCAAGAAAAAAGGAGAAGACTAAGATATGGGGACCTGCTTCTCTTCATCATCATCGTCACACACAAGGATGGAAGATTATTACAATTTCGACAAAGTTCACCAACGCTATAGGTGGGATTACCATTTCCAAGAACCTCTCTTTTCTTCCTTGGTCTCTTCATCAATCTCCCAGACTAACCATCATCCCCAACCCCATAGCCATATCGCCACTCTTACTAATCAAAAAGAACCAGAGTTAAACACATATAACAAACCCGCCGAACCATCTAGAAGTATTGAGAGTTGGGAGAAAACATTCTTAAACCATGAAGAAGCCGAGGAACCATCTACATTGTTGTCATGTATGATTTGCATGGATGAAAAGTCTCCTTCAGACATCTTCCGAGGAACCACTAGTTGCACTCATTACTACTGCATCGAGTGTACTATCCGTTACGTGACGAGCAAGGTAGAAGAAAATATAGCTATGATCAAGTGCCCTGACGTGGAATGCACGCGTCTTCTAGAGCCTTACACGTGTCGAGATATAATCCCAGGTGACGTGTTCGAGCGTTGGGACAAAGCCTTGTGCGAGTCGTTGATTCTTTCGTCGGAGAAAGTGTACTGTCCTTTCGAAGACTGCTCGGCGATGATGGTGGTGGACGATGATGATCAAGGTAATGAAGTGAGGGAGACGGAGTGTCCGTCTTGTCACAGATTGTTCTGCGCTCAGTGTAAGGTTACGTGGCATGCTGGGATTGGTTGCGAGGAGGTTCAGAGAGTTGGGAACACGAGGGAGAAGAATAATAGCGATAAAGAAGATGCTATGTTGATTCAGATGGCTAAACAAAAGCAGTGGAGGAGGTGTCCTAGTTGCAAATTTTACGTTGAGAAAATCGATGGTTGTGTGCATATGAGTTGCAGGTTAGTATTTTTTTTATAATCATATTATAAATCTTTTGTTACAAAACTAATTAATTATCATGTCAAATGGTTATTATTTTGCTTGTTGGATTATTTTCACAGGTGTGGATTTAAGTTTTGCTATCGTTGTGGAGCAGCGTCGAGTTATGGTCACTCATGCCATATTCGTAGTATCTTCTTTTAAATTACGAGTAATTACCTGTTTCAGGTTATGTGTGAGGGTGTACTTGCATCTATGTCTTTGAATTTGTTTTATTTAGCATGCATTTTATTGTTCTTGTTGAGATACTGGACTTCATGAGATGTTGAGCATGAATGAATTGGCACCTAAAAAATCTTCTGTTGCATGTTCAGACATTTCACACATGATTTTCCTTCCTCTCCGTATATTACCAGACATGAGAAGCTGGAGCCCATATTTTACCTTTTTAGGATATAGTATTTAGGCCCAGCCAGCCCATTACATGAATGTACATATGTAAAACTTAACTGAATGTTATTTCCCTATGTGAGAAATAAACTAACAAATGTAAAACTTAGTGAAGGTTTCGACTTTTGTTCAAAAGTAAAAGCCAAAGTGTAAAAAGAAAGATCCAATATGTTTCTCTTTAGAGAGTTTCCACTCATTACTAGACTTCCACCATAGTCAATAATTTCATGTGAATCAAAATAAAGTCTCATTTTCTTTGTACAGTCACTATTTGAAACAAACAATATTTTCAATAATGTCGATGGAAACTTGGATATTCGCTTGAATAATTCTATAAAAGAAATAATACACCAAAGTACAGGACCTACTTTAAAGTCCGTATCACCCACCAATACTGTTGAATGGGTACATATATTTGTTAAATTAATCTTTTTCCTTTTATTATAGCCTCGTATATTATTTTAGATGGTATCTTGAAGGTAAAAAGATAAGAAAAAATAGCAGAAACGAACAAAAACACGTGAACACACTACTTTTGGCTTCTGTGTGTTATTAAAATGCGTTAGAATATACTCTATATACAATAAATTAACAATGACATTGTCCTCGATAAAACAATAAAAACATCGACCTACTTAATATGAGTTTCAATGGAAACATCGTAACTCGTATTTGTTACGCTTCCAAGGTTCAAATTCGGTGTTGCGAATCCCTTATATATTAATCCTGAAGCATTCATAAATGCACAACCTTGGAGAGCATGCTTACGTGTCAAGCTCACAGAGCTTCTCAGCTTTAATTTTTAAATGAACCAACTTTACTAGGAATGAAATAATGTAACATTTAATTTCTTGCATTTAGGACTATAATATATAGACATATTTTAAGGGACCAACTCTGCTAGGTATAAAACAATATATTTTATTTCCTTAAATAAAAGCTACGGAATTACCTAATATGATTAACATATATATGTAATTAATGATTATGAATAATACATATTTTTGTATCCTCTCTCTTTTTTGTTTAATTTTAAATTATTAAAATAAATTAAACAATCACATTTAAATATATAATAAAAAAAATAAAATTTTTCTTATATGTTATATTTTCAATTTTTAAAACGACCATAAATAACTAAAAATAGTAAAATCCCACATTGAAAATTTTATGATCAATGGTTTAACTTTATTTTTTTTTTCCAAAGAAGATACAAATTATCATAAATCGTACGAATATGAAATATCGTTAGTAGATATTCATACTACAAATATGTTAATTTACAAATTTCAGTGAAAAAGTTTGAGGTTTGTAGATACAAATTATAGTATTCGAAAGATTTTTGTAATTTGTTTTATTTGCTTCTTTTTTAATATCTTTTAGTTTGTTTAGATAATTTAACTAATTGTAAATTAGATTTATTAACAGTTTAAATATTTTGATTTTTTGTCAACTTTTAATGTTTAACAAATATTTTTTGGGATGATTTCAGATATTGGTTACAATCCAATCCAAACTGAATTGAGAAGATCAAATCGAATCCAATCCGATAATTAATAAAATTCAAATAAGATTCATGAGAATAATACCAAAATCTGAAAATACGTGTCAATCAAACTAAAACCGACGAAGTCTCAAACGTCCACACCTATGATGATCTAAGATACCAACATTTGTATTCATCATTTTATAATCGATAAATACTGTAGTATTGCAAAATGTTAAAAACCATTTAATAAATAAATATTAGTATAAAAATTTCACCCCGCGCATGCGCGCGGGTTATCATCTAGTATGGAGTATTTGCTAACTGTTAACGACAACAACAATAAGTCGTTCCTAGCATTAAAAAAAAAAAATCAAACCAAAGTAATTAAGATCAATGTGTTCAATACATTTTATGACAAAAGGAATTTAGCAAAAAACATTTGACAAAAGAATCATAATGCCTTATCTTTGTTGATTGATTATAGTTAAATTGTCCTAAGATTTGAACAAGCAAGCATGGGACCTACATGACATCTACCGGTTCAGATGACGTGAACAATCCTAATAGGATTTGAAGTTACTAGTTGGAATCATTTTAACTTTAGTTCCCAAAGATTTTTTTTTTGGAGAAATAACTTTAGTTCCAAAGAAGGAATTGAAATATCACTGAACTTAAAGATCATAATGATACTAAATTGACAAATATACATTCAAAATCGGGAAAATGAGCATTTTAATTCCCCAAGTATTTGAAATCGGCAGTTTTAATACTCAAGTATTGCTCGCGCAGAATAATTCCCCAACTAATAGTTGACTGCGCGAAATTAGGAACGAAATAGTCAAACGTTAACTGGTTAACGGAAAGATAACGGTTTCCGTTAACCTTTTTACGGTTGACTATTTCATTCCTAATTTCACACAGTCAACTATTAGTTGGGGAATAATTATGCGCAAGAAATACTTGAGTATTTAATCTGCCAATTGAAAATACTTGAGGAATTTAAAACATCAATATTTTTTTTTTTTTTAAAAAAATATAATTTAAAAGATTTTCAAGTCAGATACAATCAATATACGAGATTTTTACTTTTTGAAAGAGATTTTTGAGCTTTTACAATAACATGTACAATAATAAAAATAGTTATAGTGGCAGTTTATTGTTGATGTACTTCATGTTTATAAAATCACATATGGATGATTTCATATCATTTACGGAATCATATGTTGTAAATTAGATTTCTACTTTAGAATAGGGATGGCAAAAAATATCGAACCAAATGAAACCGAACCAACTGAACCAAAATCGCTCCAAACCAAACTGAACCAAGCTAAACCGAACCGAGAAAACAATGTGCTTTTATTATTATTTGAAAACTAAAGTCTCTATTAACTTTATACAATATACTTAAATCCTAACACTAACGATTAACTTTATTAACGCTTTTAAACAAAAAAAAATTATTTACTTTAGTTAACTTTGGTTTGATTGTGTTTTTATAAAAAAATGATGATTTTTCTGATATTTTTTTCAGTTTTATTGTATAATTAATTTACAATCGGTAGATTAAATATTGATGTTTTAAATTCCTCAAGTATTTTCAATCGGTAGATTAAATACTCAAGTATTTCTTGCGCAGAATTATTCCCCAACTAATAGTTGACTGTGTGAAATTAGGAACGAAATAGTCAACCGTTAAAAGGTTGACGGAAACCGTTATCTTTCCGTTAATTAGTTAATGGTTGACTATTTCGTTCCTAATTTTGCGCAGTCAACTATTAGTTGGAGAATAATTCTGCGCGAGCAATACTTGAGTATTAAAACTGCCGATTTCAAATACTTGGGGAATTAAATGTGCATTTTCCCATTCAAAATCCCGTGAACGAAACAAACATATGAAATCTGTCACCTGAAATAACTAGATTTTATGTTACACATTCATATCTTTTTATTGGACGATAGCTATGTGAGGATAATAAAATCGATCTTTAATTCTTCAAAAGCATATAGGTAATTGTCGTAATAAAGAAAGCAAAAAGACAGTGCTTCCAGCTCACAGACACTAACCAGTGTCACAACTTCTTCTGCTTTGCTCTGTACACACTCCACAAAAAGTCTTCACCTCTCTTTCTCCGCTCCCTCCCAAACATCAAATAGCAATGTGGTACCCTCTTCCCTTCTTCTTCTTCCTCCTCCTCCACTCACTAAACCATATCTAGACTCAACACTAAAACAGAAAAACCCTAACTTTCTCCGGTAATGGCTCCTTTCTTCTTCCTCTTCCTCTTGACTCTTTTCTCTCCTTCTTCTTCCTCCTCTTTAAACGACATAAACTCTTTGACTTACATCATCCACGTTGACCACGAAGCTAAACCCTCAATCTTCCCCACACACCGTCACTGGTACACCTCCTCTCTCTCCTCACTCACTTCCACTCCTCAAATCATCCACACATACGACACCGTTTTCCACGGCTTCTCCGCTAAACTCACCGCTCAAGAAGCCACCCTACTCTCAAACCACCCTCACGTCATCTCCGTCATCCCCGAGCAAGTCCGACACTTACACACCACTCGCTCCCCAGAGTTCCTCGGCCTCAGGTCCACCGACAAAGCCGGTCTCCTCGAAGAGTCCGACTTCGGGTCGGATCTCGTCATCGGAGTTATCGACACCGGTATCTGGCCAGAGAGACCCAGCTTCGACGACCGTGGTCTCGCCCTCGTCCCCGCCACATGGAAAGGCCAATGCGTCGCCTCACAAGACTTCCCGGCGACGGCGTGTAACCGGAAACTCGTCGGAGCAAGATTCTTCTGCGGCGGTTACGAAGCAACCAACGGGAAGATGAACGAGACGACGGAGTTTCGCTCCCCCCGCGACTCCGACGGCCACGGGACACACACCGCCTCCATCTCCGCCGGACGTTACGTTTTTCCGGCGTCCATCCTCGGCTACGCTCGCGGCGTCGCCTCCGGGATGGCTCCGAAGGCCAGACTCGCCGCCTACAAAGTCTGCTGGAACGCCGGCTGCTACGACTCCGACATCCTCGCCGCCTTCGACACGGCGGTGGCCGACGGCGTCGACGTCGTCTCCCTCTCCGTCGGCGGCGTCGTGGTCCCTTACTACCTCGACGCCATCGCCATCGGAGCCTTCGGAGCCATCGACAGGGGGATATTCGTCTCCGCCTCCGCCGGAAACGGCGGTCCCGGCGGTTTGACGGTGACGAACGTCGCGCCGTGGATGACGACGGTCGGCGCCGGAACCATCGACC